TAGAGATGGCCACACATCCTTGTGTAGACAAGGCTCTGGCGGAAGTCTTAAGTAGACAAAGAGGCAGGATCAAATCAGAGAGCTAATGAACAGACTGGAGAGGGGAGGGTAAGTGAAATAACCATCCTTTCCAAATGGGTAAAACCCAACAAGTCAAAGCACATAATTCAATCTCTTTTATATCCCTTCTACACACACACAATTTGTTATTCCACCCCTGCCTTTGTTTTTAACTAAAATACCAGGATGACAATTGCAAGGAAAATTCCTGCTCGCCCATACTGAAATGTGTAATCCTCGGGTGACGTCTTGTCCCCACTGAAGCCAGTGACAAGATTCCCGTAGACTTCAACCGGGCCAGGATTTCAGCCATTGCGCAGTAGTTGGGAGGGGAGAGAGCAGGAAACATCTGTGTACCTTTTCTTTCAGTGGATACTGCATGACGGTTATTAAACAGAAGTAATTCCACATCATAAATACAACACCTCAAACAATCCAAAGTTAGGCTAAGGTTTTGTGGGGGGGTTGGGGGAAAAAAAAGTCTCATTCCTTGTAATAGTTCTTTAGTGGGAGGCATTTTTCAGCTCTTTACAAAGATACAGTCAAAAGCTCTTGGACAACAAGAAGGCTTTGTCCTAGCTTCCACACCGACAAGTTGCATATACGTCATCAGAATGGTTTGGAGAGATGCTGCAGAACGGTTAGAGATTTTGGTAGTTTCCAAGTGCCACATGCAAATGGAAGGGACATGTAGCTTTCATTGGCAGTGAAAGAGGGAGTTGCTGCCTGTTTCTGATCCACGATTATTCTGTTTCAAGAGATCATCATCCAATCACTTGATATTGAAGAGGTGTCAGCAATGTTCCCTCCCCCCATCCAGTATTACATCCATGAACAATATGTACAATAAGATGACTTTTATCTCCGTCCGATCAAGTACCTAAATGATGAATGTCCACTTGATTTGGTCTTGTTCTCCATCAGCTCACTGTCCTTTTAGTTCAGGGATTGTGACCTTTAGAAATATTGGAGTGAGAACTTGATGAGCTCAAGTTCCTGTTTTCTTTTTGGAGATGTCGAGCTGAGAAAATAGGGTGTAATTCCAAGACCCAAAGACTTAGGGTTTACTTTCCCCTCTGTGTTTTAGGAGGGATCTGTAAGGTCGTCATCGCTGGGCATTGCCTTCTACAGGAAGAATGGAGTGATGAAGAGTCCTCGTATGCTTTGAATCTAATGTTTCATGTTCTTCTGTGAAGCTGTCCGGGCTCCCTGCTCCATCTAAAGAACTTCCACAGCTAGAGTTTGGAGACAACATGTCCTGCAGGAGGTCCTCTTGGACTATCCCAGTGTCTTTGTTCGCTTTGCCCCTTTGGTTTCCTTCTTCTTCCTGGTCATTAAGCAGTTTGGCCAAGAAGTTGATGTATTTCATAGCCAGACGTAAAATTTCATTCTTGCTCAGTTTTTTGTCAGGTGGGTGGGTCGGAATGAGTTTACGAAGCTCTGCGAATGCACCGTTGACATTCTGTTGTCTCCACCTTTCCCGGCTATTGGTAAAAATGCGGCGGACCACTTTTGTATGGGGACCTGAAATTACAATAGTGCATGATTAGGGGCAGCATTAAACAGATTATTTGTCATTTCACTTAACGGTCAAAATTTCCCAATGTGACTAACTTTAGGCACCTACTTCCCTAGGTAGGCATCTCAACAGAAGTGGTCTGGCTTTTAGAATTGCCACAACTTCTGTTCGAGCCAATGGGAACTGAAAATCAGATCATTTCTATTTAAGTGTCTAACTTTAGTCAGATAAGTTTGAAAGCTTAGGCCATATATGTGATTAGCAGGCTGATTGTTTTCATCATATCTCAGTGATAAAGGACTTGTACAAGGTTAGCTCATGCAGCTGCCTTATATTTTATACTTCATTAACTTCTCTTAACATTGGCCAAAACAGATATGACAAGAGACAACGTGAGAGAGCAGAGGTTTTGGTGGTTCTATGGTCAGGATGCAGACACTTGTCTAAATCATTTATTTGATACAAACCCAAAGCTGGTAGGGAGCTTAAAGCTGTTACATGTCCATTTGATGGCCTATGTGAAATGAGTTGCTGGTACTCAGCCCAATTCCTTGGGAACAGGTAGCCACATTACAAAACCAGCCTCCCTCCCAGTTTGAGCATTGATCTGCTAAACCCAGGGTTGTAAGTTCAATCCTTGAGGGGGCCATTTAGGGATCTGGGGCAAAAATCTGTCTGGGGATTGGTCCCGCTTTGAGCAGGGGGTTGGACTAGATGACCTCCTAAGGCCCCTTCCAACCCTGACAGTCTATGACCAAAACCAACCAAACAAAAATTAGTGCCTGTGTTGGAATTCTGAATGGAGACCAGGAACCAAATCATCCTGGAACCCCTATCAGTTTTAGAAGCTTTCTCTTCGGGTCAGCATTGGCAAAATGCGGGAATGTTGGCAAAGCAGCTGGAGAGCCTTACAATGACGCTGTCGCTGACCATGCTTTTCCTGTCCTGTAGATACCCTCAACCTGATTCTATTTTGATTGACTTTTGTAGGAGGGGAAACAACAATAAAATACTGCTGTTAATTTAGCCTGGCAAGCAGTGGACTCCACTTAAAATGGCTAGTTTCACCCCATGGCCAGTTTTAGAATGAAGGTGTTAACCTAAAACAGGTGACATCCCGGAAGACCAGATAGATAGCAACATTGACTGTGTGCTCTCCTTTCAATGTGTGATCATAACGCCTACTGCCCTTGGGGGGGGGGGTTGTATGCATGGAGGGGAAAGATTTATCAGTGGGTCCTGCCATGCGTAAGATCCAGGTTGGAGTGCAATCTCAGCATCCCATTTCCCTGGACCAGTGGAAGCATGTACAACCGGGCACTCGATTCCAACTATTGGACAGTGCAACTTCTATCCAAATAGTACTCACCGAGTGTATTATTATTAATACATATTTTGCTTTCCATAAATCGTTATTGAAGGAGCCTAGCAGGAGACCTCATGAGGGTTGCCATGGCAAAAACCACTCTAAAGATGAGAGACATGCCTGGAAAAGCACAACACCAAGGACAAATGTATGTATAATATCTATGGGGGTGACACTGAATGACAGATCACATGGCCTTGTACAGCACATGACCACACGCTATACTCTTGAAACCCCTTGTCTGATTACTGCATCATGGTGAGAATAAGTCCCTGACCAATATGCACCTGCCTGTGGTCAGCTGTTTAGACTGCCCAGTGTTCCATCATCACCCAATGCTCGTGCCTACCAGTGGGATGCTCTAGCCAGGTGCCCATTGCACTGTGCGTGTTTTGGTTGTTAACACACACTTGGACTCCTGGGGTGGGGAGTTCAGCTATAGCAAATGGATAACAGACGATGTGCTCTGAAGCTCACTTATAATATTGTTGCAACATACTAGTCAAATGCGGCTGCCTCCTGATACACCCACCCTCACGATCAGAGAAGACCGAAATCCCAAACACTAGGAAATGAAATGCTGGCTGGGGAAAAGAAAACACTGACACATGATGTGTTGCGAGAAAAATCCATTCCATGGGCTTTGCAACTGGAAACACTTCTAAGCAACCGCAGTCATTGCTGCGACAGATTCAAGCTACGGGCCCCTCCAAACCAAATCAGCCACGTATAAGCGAACAGACACATCTCAATCACATTACCAGGAGCCGCATAGTTGAAATGCACAATCCTCCCTTTCCCCTCCCCACCGTTAAAAATAAATCCAACCCAAATAACAAGAACAATCACAGAAAATGGGAAGGACTGAGGTCCATCACTACCCACCCCAGATTCCCCTCTCCCCTGCATACGCAGGACATTGATCGTGTGGGATACGCCCAGAGGCGTAGCAAGTGCCCTCTGTACCCTCCGACCGGAGGGGACCCCGCAAGGAAGGGGGCCCCTAAAAGTGGCAAAAAAAATGTAAGGGGCCCCGCCCGGACATATGTTCAGAGGGGGCCACGTTCTTTGTTGCTACGGCCCTGGATACGCCCACCTGATCCTAACAGATGCTCAATGCTCAATGCGCCAGAGGAAGGCGAAAAAGCCTAGGTGTCTGCCAATGCACCGTGGGGGGAAAATGTCCTTCCTGACCCCAAATCTGGTGATCAGTTCAACCCTGTGCATGAGAGCCAGAATCACCATGATTAAGTAAAAATTTAATTTTGCAACTTTCAGTTTCCTTAGGGGGATCTAGCTATCTGGGCACTTACTGGGCTTCCATCCCTGTAGCATCTAAGCACTTCACAAGCATGAATGAATTTACCCTCATGATTGCCATGTAAGGTCAGAAGCACTCTCATCCCCATTTTACAGATGGGAAGGAGAGGCTCAGAGAGATCAGTGTGACCTGACCAAGGTCACAATGGGAGTTGCTGGCAGAGCCAGGACTAAAACCCACATCTCCACAATCCCAGTCAAGCACCTAAGCCATGAGGCCATTCTTCCACTCCCAAAGAGCACCACAACCGAGCATTTAAATGCAGTTGTAAGATCTCAACGACAGGGACTGTTTCTTACTCTGGATTTGTACAGCACCCTGAACACAGGTCCCCAATGCTAGGTGGGGCATCCAGGCAATACCATGACACAAATAATAACAATAGTAGAGCTATTTGCACCGCTAGCCTATAATTAAAGATCTCGCAGGGTCTGTCTACACTGCACATTAAGCTCGGGCTCTGACTCAGGTTTGAGCCCCCGGCCCTTTTCCATCCATGTGCAAATCAGCCTGACTCGGGTCAGCAAGCACTCAGGAGCTGGGTCCTCCTAGGACCCTGCTAGGGGGGTGGGTCAGAGCCCGAGTCCTGCTGGGACTCGGGTCCAAGCCTGGTCATTTTGCACTGTGGACACAGCTCAAGCTGCAGACCTTGCAGAATGTGTGCACTGGCACAGGTGTGAGGCCCAGGTCCAGCAATTGCAAACCCAGGTTTACAATGCAGTGTGGACACTCAAGCATTAGTATGAGCTTGGAAACACCAAGTGCACAAGTGCAGGTCCCACAGACCTAGGTTTACAACGCAGTGTAGACACAACCTCAGTGTTCCTGTTACAAAGCCCAATTCCAAGACTCAAACATACTCCTCCGAGCTTAAAAAAATATATCAAGAAACATGGAAATCAGATTCATATGCAGAGAGGGTTTTGTTTAATTTTACAAAATCTCTTTTGCTGCTTTTGAATTTGAGTGGGAAAATATTAGAGATCACTAGCCTATCAAAAAATTTAAAATACCAAGGGTCCAATCTTGCATGCACAGAATACCCATTGAGTTCACTGGGGGGCTGGTGCCCCTAAGGAATCCATTCATAAATTTTTTTAAATGCTGTGATCATCTAAGACAGGGGTAGGCAACCTATGGCACGCGTGCCAAAGGTGGCACACAAGCTGATTTTCAGTGGCACTCACACTGCCCAGGTCCTGGCCACCGGTCCGGGGGGCTCTGCATTTTAATTTAATTTTAAATGAAGCTTCTTAAACATTTTAAAACCCTTATTTACTTTACATACAACAATAGTTTAGTTATATATTACAGACTTACAGAAAGAGACCTTCTAAAAAAGTTTAAAATGTATAACCGGCATGTGAAACCTTAAATTAGAGTGAATAAATGAAGACTCAGCACACCACTTCTGAAAGGTTGCCGATCCCTGATCTAAGATGACATCAGGCATAACGCAGACCATAGAATTTCACCCCAATTCCTGTGTTGACATCAGACACAATGCAGGTGTAGAATTTCTTCTCCAGATTCCTGCATCAAACCCAGTAACTATGGCTGAACTGAAGCATATCTTTTAGAAAAACAGTCATCCTTTCTTGATTTAAAGATTTGAAGTGATGGATAACACAGGACGCTTTATGGATAGATCATGAAAAACGGAGGTATTCTTCTAAATGAAATTTGTCTGGTAATTAATTCAGAAGCTTGAATAGGGCTTTCTCCATAATTTGTTAAATATAACAAAAATCAAAAGGAGAAGTGGTAGACATTTTTCAAAATCCCAACAGAATTTTTTTGCCAACAGTTTTCAAAACTTTGTGTGAACTTTATGTGTTTCTTTGTTTTGCAGCTGGCTTGGAGAGCGGTCAAAACATTTTAACCCTTCGACAAAACGTTTTCACGAAAAAGGATTTTGATTGGAGTTACTTTGGAGGCTTCACAACTGTTCCTCTCTGAAGCTCTCAGCTTGTGCAGTTCAGGGCTGAGCCCTGTGGGGGTAAACATGAAGGTTGGGAGAAAGCCAGGAAGCCAGGTGGTTTGTTACTCATGATCCAATAAGCTGAGAGGAGCGGGTGCTGCAGGCGGGGGAAGAATCTATCCAGCTGACATCAGAAGCTACTGAGACTCTACATGCAATATATATTGTTTTCTTAGAATCTTCAGACATATTTTTGGGTCAGTGACTGGCCCGTCTGCTATCAGTTTCTTCTAAGTGCAGGTTTTAAACATGCCAGATTAAGCCACTATCCTGGTTGGCAGAGGAAGCAACTGAAAGGCCTAAAAATGGCCACCATACTCTCATTTCTGTACCTCACTTATGCGCTGTCCAGTCCCCTGCCCCTGTGAATGCCAATTCTCCACCTGCTCATTCTGGTTTGATCATAAATCGAACGGACTTGCAAAGCTTAAGAGCTGCCATTGATCCAAAAACTGAAATTTGCATACCTACACTGCTCGTATTTTAGGAGAAAAAGTCCAGGCCTATTTTGCCATTCTATCTCCCAAAGAGCGCTCCTAGTTTAATGTCTCTGTTTCTCCCCCCAAATGACCCATGTTACAAATCTTGTCAGATATGAAATACTCCTTGACAGACAAACCATAACTGTTCTGAAGACATTACATTTTCTTGTATCAGCTGCAGTCCATTGATGTCAGTGGAAGTTGCATGTTCATGTTTAGGGGCACAATTTTGCGCTATTTACTTGACTGGCTAAATATCAATTTGATCCAAAACCCCTTGGAATCTTTCCACTGACTTCAGCACCCTCTGGGCCTGCAAACACTCACCCATGTAACTTTAAGGTTATTCACATGCATAAGTGTTTGCAGGCTCAGGGTCCCAGTCTGCTCCCTGAGATACCACCCCCCAAAACTATCCTAGTTCAGAGGCCTGATCCGGCAAATACTTAATCAACCAATTTGGGATCCGCAGGACCAGGCCCAATGATTATACCTAATACATTATCTGGTAAATACATATTCACTTTTCTTTCAAATACATTTATATATGTACTGCTCATCTAAACAGTTATTGTGTGTAATATATATAAGTAAAACTTCACATCTACACTAAAAACAAGTAAACTCAGCGGTAAGGTTAAAACTCTTGCTCAGACTCTCATGACATTGATACACACTTGTGTTTTTATTTGTCAGCCTTAATTATTATTTATATAATGGTAGAACCTAACGGCTCCAACCAAGATAAGGACCCTATTCTGCTAGGTGCTGTACAGAAACATGGTGAGAGACAGTCCCTCTCCGAACCAGCTTACAATATAAATGGACAAACAGACAAAGGATGGAGGGAAAGGGAATAACATACATGCAGTGAGACTGGAGTGATGTTTTGCAAGCATTATGTTAGCCTCACAATTTTCTTTTGAAATGTGGAGGACTGGGGTTTTATTTGGATAGGTTAGCTAAAAAGAAAGACAAATGAAGGTAGCTGAATTTTCGGGCTTTTCTGGATTTCAATGTTTTATCATTTAAAATGTATTTTCTTTTTATCCTTTCATCTCATTTATATAGATATCTGTCACTATGGAGAGTTTTAGGCTTTGATTTAAAAACTAAGGACCTTTGACTGGAAACATACACTACACAGGAGTGTTTACTCACACAGGCATTCCCACTGAAACCAATAGGACTGCGCAGGGGTAGGTAGTGAGATAATATCCTAGGCTTTTTAATTCCTTCCGTACTTTGAAAGATTTTTTAAAATACATTATAAACTCTGGGCCATCAGTCTGGAAGCAGAACTGGTCAATTTCAAAGGGCAATTCTGCTTGAGAGCGTCTGGCACAAGGCAAGCCTCTATATGGTGACTTGCTGAAGTGTCTTTGCAATTACTGCACCTCAGAAGAATGGCCCCCATTCAGCAAAGCACTCAAGCATGTATATAATTCTCTCTTACTACAATGGGACTTAGGCCTGGTCTACACTGAAAACTTATACTGGCATAGCTATGTCAGTCTGGGGGTGAAAAAACCACATTCCCTAGACTATGTAGTATGTTGATAAAAACCCCAGTGTGGATGCAGCTAAGCTGACAGAGGACCACTTCGGTCAGCATAGCTAACGTTGTTCAGGGAGGTGGCGTTCCTACACTGGCAGAAAAACTCCTGTCTTGTACACTGTATCTACACTAGGGGGCTAGGCCAGCATGGGCTCTGTAGACATAGCCTTAAACAAGTGCTAAGTGGTTTGCAGAATAGGGATGGAATTAAACACCTGCTAGAGTGCATTGCTGAACTGGGGCAATATTATTAAGTCCTTCATCATCAGACTGGTTACCAGATGGAGCGGGAAATATTGGCTCTATTATCCAGGAGTCAAGACCCAGGGCAGGAGTAAGCTATCAGACAGTAGGAGTGATGTCATCCTCTCCCTCATCCTTTTATTGCTTTGTATTTTATCCCAACACATGTTGGTCTAAGCAACCTTCCCATGTCACCAACATTAAGCACCAGCTACATCCCTTTGCACTTGATATACACCATCAGGAGCGGAAGAAAAGATTCTCACCATCACTGATCTCCACTTCATAAGGAGATGGTCTTCTTTTCATTCTGTTGTTGTTGTACATTGAGAAGCTGTCTGGCTCTCCAAAAAACCCACTGCAAACAAGGTACAAAGAGAAGGTCAGAAAAAAAATGAGGAGGAAAACACACAGACACACTTCATGGAGGGTTCTCCCGTGTCGCCGGGGTTCTTCGAGATGGACGCTGCACATTTCCACTCGTGGGGAGCACCATGGGCATCTGTGCAGCAGCCACTTGAAGAACTATTAGATATTATAGGCCAGATCTTCAGCTGGTGGAAATCAGCTTAGCTCCACTGACATCAAAGGGACTTTCAAATCTATCAAACTATGCCACTTGATACCAGTTGAGGATATATGAATGCATGTGTGAGTGTACAGATATATATACA